TGGGCTGTGTTCTCCAGCCTGTCCCACAGCCCCTCAGCTCTGATCGTGCTCGCTCTTTGCCAGATCCAGGCCGGCACCAGACAAAAGAGGAGGACCGTGCCCATGGCCACTTCCGCAGGGCAGGACAGGTACCTGCAGTCATCCCTCCCTGGGCTGGGCCTGCTGTCACTGCTCAGTCTGGCACCACTGTTAGAGCTCTCCATGGCACATCCCTCTCTTCCCTGCCCTTCGTTCTCTTGCAGAGGGTGCGGAAATCCATTGCTGTTCACCGCAGAAAGGCCAGGGCCTCAGCAACTGAGGTGTTGGCACAGCCTGAGCCCAACCCAACGGAGCGCAAGGCCAAGGCTGACGCCCCAGAGACTGAGGGCATCCCAGACTCTGACAGCACACCCATTCAGCGCCTGCCAGATGCTCCCAATCCGGAATTTTCTGGGGACAGGGTTATCTCTGCTCAAGTAAGCATCCTGTGGGCAAGCATTGTATGGGCCCTTAAGCTTGATCTCCTGGGCCCCCTCAGTGTTTGAGGTCAGCAGGGTGAGGTGGGAAGGGAAGCACTTCTGGGAGGAAGCTGGGGAATTGCTCTCTCTGGCAGCTCTCCAACTCTCCCTTGTGTCCCCTCCAGGTGCCAGCTCTGGTGAGGTACATCCACCGGTGGCTGACCTCCAATGTGTCTGCTGGGCATGTGCTGGATAACACCCTTCTAGCAGTGACCGAGGCACACCCCAGGGATGTCACCATCACCCTCCTGCGCTGTGCCCCCTCGTGTGACAGGTATGGGCCCCAACCTTGAGGGCTTAGGGCTCACCAGCCTTTAGAGCCCATCACCCCCCCAGCCCCTGAAAGCACTGTGGCTCTGTCACCTGACTCCTGCAGCTGCCCAGGTCAAGGCACTGTGGTCGAGACCCCCCCTGATGCAGAGCTCTGACTCCACAGAGCTGCTGCAACCATGTGGAGGACCATCGCCTCATCAGGAACAACACTGGGGAAGGTGCTGCCAACACTGCTCCGCGTGATGGAGGCCTGGCCATGGCACAGCACATCCACCTCTGATGGGGACAACACAGCCATCTTTGCCTTGGCTGTGAGTTTCTGGAACCTTTGCTCGCCCCCCAGGTTGCCTCTCTGGCAGGTCTCCATCCTTCCCCAGCACAGCATATCCCTGCCCATCTCCCTGCAGGCACTGGGATGGAAATGTGGGCTAGGAGCAGGTTCAGGGGCACCAGGCTGCACGCCCCCCCTGAGTCTCCCCTGGCCTTCCCCTTTCCATGCTTGGGCCTTGCCACATGGAAGTCTGGGCACTGAGCACTGTGTCCGGCTGGTTTGTCTTTTGCAGGCAACTCTGGCACTGTGGATGATTCTCCAAGAGCCCCAGTGCCCAGGGCCGTTGATGGACTATTCCCCCCATCTCCTCGTGGCTCTGCTGTTCCAAATCTTCATCAGCACAGAGCAGATGTCAGAGGAGGTCGACACCTTCTGGAGGGGATGCCAGGAGCAACATGACCTTCCCACCGATCCCAACAGGTGCTTTATCCCAGTCCTCCCCTCCCTCCCATGCCCTTGGGACTGGGGCCAGGGCTCCCAACATGACCTGGGCTTTGCTCTGCACACAGGTTTGCAGTGCTGACCATGAAGGCTCTGCTCCGCTGTCTGCACTGTGAGGATGTGGTGAACTCGGTGGAAAACAATCATGGCTGGGCGAGGCTCCTCAATGCTCGCAGCCGCCGCTACGCAGCGGCTCTGCTGGCCAGGTGAGACCCCCTTGTCCCCGCTGGCCCTGTCATTTCTGTCTGTGCATGGGGCACCCCTCACACGTGGGCCTTGTCACCAAGGGATGGCTGAGCAGAGTGGAAAAGGCTGGGAGAGGCAGGTGCACAGGAAGAGCCGCCTCCCAGAGTGCCCTTGTCCCCTCCTAGGCTGGTGGGGAATGACCAGGCCTCCGTGAGTCCATCCCAGGAGAGGTTTGTCCACCCGGCTCAGGGTCAATGGTGCCTTTTTCCCCCTGCTAGGGAGATGCACCGTGTCTCCAGCCCCTTGTGTTCCCGGATCACACTGCACCTGCTGGAGCTGCTGCGCAGGGAGGAGCCGTGCTGGGACCTCCCTGCCATGGCATTCCTTGTGGAGGTGAGCCTGATGGCGAGCTCTGCCTCACCGAGCTGCCTCCACCTCTCTGGCCTCTCGCAGCCGCAGCTGCCCGGGATGGTGCCGTGCCCTGTGCTGCTGCCTGGGCCCAGCCCTGGGTGGGTCCAGGCTCCTGCTGGCCGGGCACCCTGTCACTGCTCCATGCCTTTCAGGTCCTCGACTGCCTGGACAGGAGAGAATGTGGTGACAGGGTCCTGGAGATCCTGTCAAGGAACTTGGGGAGCACGAACAAAAAGTGGCGTCAACTGGCGCTCAGAGTCCTCGTATCACTCAGCCGGGATCCCGAGATGGTGAGAAGGGGCAGTTGGCTGAAGCCGTGCTGGAATCCTGGGGCTGGGGAGCACAGTCGCTTAGGCTTGGCTGGGCTTCAGGAGCTGTGGCAGCTGCTCTCAGCTCTGCTGCCTCCCCGTTCAGCTGCCCAAGTCCTTCG